TGGAGACCAGACTTAATATTTGAACTTCTTACGTTTACATGTGCTAATAGGCTCTGTTTGCCATATTTGTAGGGGATGATGCTTATCCATCTTTTGTGGATATTGCACAGGCCAACTCATCTGGCATGGAATGTGGATTTCCTACTCAGTTATCCTTTTCTGCTCGTGAAATTTCAGAAGGGACTTTTTTCAAAGCAATAGAAGATTATGATCCTGATAGCCAGAGGCTGCTGTATCAAATGCAGAAGTGAGTTGTTTAATATTCTAATTGAGATGCAACGTTTGTTCCTAGCAATGAATTACTAAGAAACGCACCTGCAATGACATAGTTGACTGTTCCTTCTGCCACCCTGCCTTTATTTGCAAAGGCTTTCATTTTAACTTTGACTGGATTACTGAAATCGGTTGCTTGTAGTCTAGCCCTCCTTTACTGTAAATCCTCCATATTTCAGGTCATACCATGGCGATCCAGTTCTAAATCCCCTAACACCTTGGGAAAGACCTCCTCTGAAGAATATATTTTGTATTTATGGAATCGATATGAAAACAGAGGTATATTTATGTTGTGATGCTATTCTCATATTGTATATTCTATAATGAATTCTTAATTGTATTAGTATTGAGCCTGATCTTGTTTTATGCTGTAACAGCATGAATTTTCCAGGGTTCCATCTCTGGTTATTGTTCTTCTATCTATTTACTGCTCTTGTTGTATTTCCTATTTTGCTCTCTAAAGCATCTTTCTCTGATTTCAAGTTCTAGATTTCTTATAGTTAGGGGTTAAGAGAGAGCGTAAAATGACTCTCATCCACTTAAATTCTTCTAGTAAATATAAATTGTTGTTGCCATCTCTAGATCTTGATTTTATTACTCTGTAATTCAACTTAAGCCCCAGTATGATGATTGAGTACCATAGAAAAGAATAATCATGTATTGACCACATTCAACAATGCTTTATTCTCATTAGTCAAATAATTTGTAAAATGATCTCTGAGATGTTTGGCCATTTAATTAATTCATAGCTTAGAAAATTTGTGAATGGAGGTCTGTGCTGTTTCTGTATCTGAAAGAAATGTTCTGCCACTTTAAGTATGTTCATGAATTAATTTAATATGTAGTAGTTTTGAATATTATTTTTTTACTTACAATTGTATGGAACTCAAATCCTAACTTCCTTTAAATGATGGCTTTGCTGGTTTTTAATTGTATTTTGTCAATAATGCATATGGAAATAATCTTTGTGGTTTTTTTGTTTCATTTAACTTAACAGGTTGGTTACTACTTCGCACCTAGTGGGAAGCCGTATCCTGACAATTGGATCATAACCGATGTGATATATGAAATTGAAGGATCTTTGTACTCCAGGTGACTTCCGCTAGCGAGAAGGCTAGCATGTTTGAGAAAAGATATTAAATGATCATATCACATGGAAGTTTCAAAGTGTTACCATCTGAGATGTCTTTTGCTCCACCTAGAGAATGATGACTTTGAATTAATACTTCTCCTGACCAACTTAAACTATAAATGCAAGATTTTGTGACATTTCCTGTAATTTGTTTAGTGGGTATTATGGCCTTTGGGAACTAGTAAAAACTTAATCATGCTATGATGTACATGATATTTTTCAGAAGTTAGAAGTCTGAAGATTGTAGTAAAAAAGAATTGAATGTCATAATGAGATAAACATATATGTTGCACCATTAAAAGCAAAAGAAGCGCAAGTGCATTATTATTAACCTTCATATGACACTAGAAGTAAGGAACAATGTTGCATTTTTTTTATGTGTTAGATGAAATCAATTCGGCAATGATTCTCTATCCCATGTTTCTATTGAGCTTTCTAAATGCTGTTCTGCTCTGTTAATATCCTGGAAAATGTTTCGTAGATATGCAAATTCCCATTTTTACTTTTGTGCAGATCAGGGAATCTGGTTGAAGGAAATCCAGGTGCAGCTAGTGGAGATGAGACGGTATGATTGTGAATAAGTATATTAACATCCATACTACAAATTTGAGGCATTGACATTTATGGAGTCTGAACTTCAGTTTCATTAATAGGTGCGGTAATTTTTTTTTTTTTTTTTTTTTTTGGGGCAGGTACCATATCACTCCCTTTCTTGGTGCAAGAATTGGTTGGGACCAAAAGTGAACATAACAAGGGCTCCTCAGGTACTTCAGTTAGTGCGTAAAATCATAATTTTTATGCGTTATACAATAAGTGCTGCTGTTAGTTTGATTCATTCGACTATTCTAGGATTGAGATTTTTACCTTGACCTGACGCACAAGCAGTTTAATGAAAATATCTTTCCTGTTTCTTTCAATAGAAACTTAGAATCAAATGTCACATTACCATCTTAAAAAATACAAGTAACTAGAATTTCTAAATAAACACCTCCTACCATGCAAGAAAAAAACATGAAAGAAATGTTGGTTTCTTTTGTTGCTGCAATTGCTGTACTGGATTTGCCATATTTGAAAAGCTTATTGACACAAGTTCACTGATAATAGCCATCCTGTTTCCCTACTCTATGGTTCTTTTTTTCCTCCCTTCTGATTAGCTAGACATATGAGTTGGTTGCCAAGGTGAATACCTTGAGAACAACATTTTTGCTCTTTTCCTCTCTGATTTTTATTTATAATATATATATATATATATATTCCTTTTGCTCGTTACTCTTGCAGTCAGAGCATGATGGCTCAGATGTACAAGTTGAATTACATGTAGAACATCACCACGAAGCAGATATCCTACCCAACATGACACGGTCACCTCGGGAGAAGTACATAACCTATTATGAAGATTCTGAAAGCATTCCAGGGAAGAGGACAGCTGTCTGGGAGCTTGATAAAGGTATCTGAACCATCTTACTTTGAATTTTGGTCGTACATGTTCTTTTTTGCTATGGAAGATGACTCTTACCCTTCGTCATTGGCAAATTAACAAAAATTGTTACCCTTGGTGGTTGGGGGATGGATATCCTCTAATCTTGTCCTGTTGCTTGATACTGCATAGGGGTCCTTTTTATCATGCATATTACCACTTATTTGACTTGTATTTCCTATTAGGTATGTATTCATGGAAAAATGAGACAAAACATGACTGAAATTACCTGCAGGGATCCTTTTTATTTGTCTTTCTTTTCTGCTTTCAAGGGTGCTAGATACCATTGTCTTTCCACTTGCAGAACCTATTTCTTTTTGTGAAAGTTGGCTTACAAATAGGAATTACGTGAACTTCATATAAAGTATGAACTACTTCATCTTTCTGCATGGCTTGTTACTGTAATTTATTTTGATTTTGTTGATGAATGATGAATATGCATTGCCATATCTTATATAGGCATGACTGATTCTCCTGTTGCAACTTTGACATGTTCTTTTTATTCTATCTCAATATGATACAAGTCTTGCTCATTTAAATTGTAATATGTCTCTTTTACAGCAAATCACAGGAATATTGTCAGGTCACCGGTTTTGATGCGGGAACTATGGCTGGAGATGTGGCATGACATTCATCCTGATAAAAAATCAAATTTTGTTACTAAAGGTGGATATTTCTTTTGATTTTCTTTTTTTCCTTTTTTCTGGGAGAGGGGGGTGTGTTTTCAAACTTGTCTTACAAGTATTACACGATAGGTAAGCGGGGACCTCTAAGGGACGAAGACTGCTACTGGGATTATGGAAAAGCTCGGTGTGCATGGCCTGAGCATTGCGAATACAGGTTTTGTTGGCCTTCCAGTAAAACCATTATTTGTCCTGCAATTATTTTCTTTAGAATACCAAAGGTCATCTAATTCACTAAGGTGTGATGTTTCAGATATGTATTTGGGGATGTTCATCTTGGACAGAGCTGCAGATTGAGGAATAGTTCAGCTGATCTGCTCTTGCATTATGTATAATTTATGAGGTAAAGTGGAGAATTTTGTTTCTTTGTCTGGAGGTTGAGTAGGAGCTCAAAGGACAGGAAGTAAAACAATTCAGGGTGATTGTTGGGAGAAGTGTTTTGAGGGGGAAAAAAGAAAGGGGGGGGAGGGAAGGGAATAAGATCCTCATTGACAGCACTAATTCGTACGGAAGATACCGACTTGGATCCCGAATTCACATATCGGGAATTTGAGGAATCAAAGAAGCAGCAGCAGGAGTAGGTCAATGGCACTATCTCGTGATGCTTTGCCCGAAGCTCTTTTTCCAACCAAAATGGAATATGAGACCCCATTCCCCTGAGCTCGAATATATATGTCCCTGCACATCTATTTACCATTGGAAGAAAACCAATACTCATTGATACTTTAGGCGATAAAAATGTAATATTTGCACTGAAGTTGATTGTACTGATCTTTGTTTGATATGCTTCTGCAGTAATCGGGATCAGTTTCATTATGCCAGATTGATGAGATGATCTCGTTCCTGTACATTTTCCTCATCCTTTTTAGTAGTAATCAGAGGCACTTTTATATCAACACCATAATTATATCATCTTAACAAGGTAATTTTTATGCCGCTTTTCATTTGAATGTTTTTCCTATAAACCTTTTCACATGAACTGGCTGCTGCACGTTCAACTTCGATGGAGGATTAATTTGATAATGCATTACAGAAAATGGGTACCCGTACTTGAAAAAGGCAGCCGGACATGCTTTTGTGAGAATGAGGTCCGATACTGCTGTAAGCCAGAATTACTGTATATGATATCGGCCTCTTTGGAAAAGGAAAATTTTGCATGGTGTTGTACAACTAGTTACTCAACTGAACGGTCTGAAATCAATTGTTTCAACGATATTATTGTTTGCTGGTATACATTGAAGAGTTCCTGTCACTCTCCCTTTCCTGAAAAGCTAAATGATAACTGTAGAAGAACCAAAAACTGTTGGTCATTCATTTTGCTGGTATGATTAAATGACGCAATTACTCGAGCTTTTAGCGTAATTAGCCCTTCTCGTTATGATTACCTTTTGTGTGAACGATCAGGTGGCAACACACTTTAAAAGTTAAGCATGAGTGAGAAAGTTGGAACACTTTCGAAATCTCAGCATTGATGATTCGTGAATACCAGAAAACCAACTACACAGAGCCAAACATTGCTGGTAAATGGAAATGCAAGCTCGCTATCGAAAGATTTGGCTGACAAAAATAAGGGAAAACGAAAAAACGAATCTCCAAATGACAGATGAAGAGCGTTCAATGACGACTTGGCTGCAGGCTACCTGCTCTTTCTTATTTCCAAGACATAATCAAGCTCCATATGACATCTTCTATCATCGTCTTCAAACTGAACCAGCAATCAGAGGTACAGCAAAATCAGTAATATATACCATCAATAAACAAATTTTGGCACATGAAACTGGTTCTTTCACCATGCTTGACATTCGAAATGACTGATGTTGCAAAATGCTGTCTGAGCGAGGAACAGAAACTGCATAATGTATAAATTCAAATGAACCCACCCTAAGCTTTGCTGTATAATTTCCTCTGGCAAGCACACCAGATGGAGTGGTCTCCTCCTCTAAGGTATGGATATATGGTTCTCGCTGAGGAGCAAACGTGCCCAACATTCCGTTCTTTCGATCCACTGAAATACATAATCAAGCTGAAGGACTAAATGAGAAGCGTCTAAATGCAAATGAAGGTCATATAAGATCAGTAATGCAACCTGAGGAAACAATAACTCCACTTTCGAGAGAGAGAGAGAGAGAGATTATTACTAGCTTCTACCATTTGTTAATGACTCCTTTGCTACCAAAGTGACCCCTGAATACTTCCATTAAACCTCTCTTTCTTCAAAACTGATAAGATTGGATAAACTTCTATTTGAACCTGAATTTACTGTAGAATATCAAAGTGGGGATGTTTTTGCAAAGTAACTTTGACTTTTAAATGGACTCAAAATTATCAGTAGCACGAACTGGGATGTCAAAACCAAACTCAAAATTTAGACTCAACTGTAATCTTCTTCTGTGTTGTGTCATCGTCTTTTCAGCATTTTAGTCGAGAATGAAAAGAATGAGATTTACTAACAAGGAAACCAGATGAGTGAGAGCTCAGAGGATGCAAGCCCTCTCTGTGCTTGGACAAGAAAAGGAGATATGATGCACTTAACAAAAAAGCTATTGAGAACATCTTTAGTCCATTGTGACAATCGAAATTAACAACACTTGAAGGGCTGGACAAGTATAGTAACAAGCGCATCCAATTATGTCCTCACTGGTCACTGTCATCTTAGACAAGGATATAACATGCTAGTTATGAGTATTAAAGTTTGGGAATAAACTAAATGCAGAATGTGTAACATTCAATAAATAGATTCGTCATTAACAGAATAAAGTTTGAAACTGTCAGAAAACGAACCTTCAACTCCACCTTTCCAAACAGTATTTGTGTAAGCCAGACCTGATACAATGTTGTGAAGAACGGAGAACGTTAGCTTTAGCCGATACTCAGACCCCTCCTTGAGAGTAAATAGTACAGGTTTGCTTTGGTCTCCACAAACAGGCAAGGGAGTATTAATCTCCCCAAAGTCCGAGGATAAAATTCCAATTGAATGGAACTTAACTTCAGGCTCCACTCGCCCTAACAGAACACATAAAATTTCATAAAATTAAGCTATACTAATCAGAATAAAGCTAGAAAGGATTGATTACCAAATTATTGCATTTTCATTGAAAATTTAGAAAAATATAATTTTGTTTTTATTAGGATTCCCAAAATAATGAAGTCAACTTCAGTTATCTATTGAGACAAAACTTATATTTATTTCTTCTCCCCTCCCTTCCCTTTTACTTCTCATTTCCGTCCTCCTACTGTCTTTATCAGTCTTCAGTAAGTCTCGAAGGCTGATTTTTGCCACAGATTTGAAAACTGATTCCTGGTTGTGGGAGGACAACTATTTTTGTAGAATTTGCTCTTGTGAAGTAAAGGAACGAAAGTCGACTGCATATTCCTGGGAGTTCATTAATAGTACCAACATTTTTTTTATTTAAATAAAAGAAGAGCAATTTTTGCATAAATAAACCGAGCTAGAATGGTGTAAACTATGGAAAAAAATTCTAGAAAACCAACCATTTAAATCACTTTCAAGACAACCAAGCAGCTTTTCTTTCCACTTCCTGAGGCTCTCATCCTCCTGAGAGAAAAAGGCCAATTAAACCACTGATAATATACTTCAGTTACCTAGATGAATGAATTATATACTTTAAGGAGTGCTTTTGTTTTTCAACTTCTAATATAAGGCCTAGAACAGGAAAGGTGGAACAGAATTTAGTGGTCAATCAGCATAGCAAACCACCCAACACAGGAATGCAAACTTAAAAGGCCAAGAGAAAACACCAAGAAATAATAATGGTAAGTGGTATGTTCATGTAAAACCTAAAATTAAGGGACACGAGGAAACAAATTACCTGATGGCATTAGAAATCAAAAGACATACGAACACTTAGCCATCAATCTTCACGTACAATCTTCGCATACGTTCATAACTACTATGCACTGTGGCTGATAAACAAGAGAATTTCAACTTTAAAGCTCTATAAAGTGATATTTTCGCCACTATTTTATCTTTTTCGTTCCTTTTGTTCATTTATTTCTTTAACGAAGTACTTCAAACATTTTCTTTTCTTACTTCTGTTAGCTATACCTCTCTTTATATCTTTTATTTGACTACTATTATTCTCTTGAATCCCTATAAACTAAACAGCAAAAAGACAAAGAGAAGCATGTGTATGAATTACCTCAAGCAGCCACACTAATAGGGTCGGGAAAAATTCAAACTTTGAAATAAAACCAACAATACAAAATTCAAACTTTGAGATAAATCAAAGAGATAAAGGGACATATAGTAGAACAGCCACCAGCCTAAAATGGGGGAGAAAAACATCAATGGTACGCGTGAGTGTGTGTTCATGTGAGATAAAGGCCCAATCTTTCAAAAATCAAATTGATGAAATAAGGCAAGCAGCTAAACTGCATCACCTACAAAATAGTTACAAATACTAAACGACAGTAAAATTCATGGAAAAAAAAAGGGAAAATAAAACCTGAAACCTGATCTTTTTCAATCTGGTCCTTGAGAGAAATAAGTGGGCCGGGAACGAAATTAGCAATTTTGCCCCCATCAGCATCGTCACCCTCATCATGGTTTTGATGCTGCTCCTCCTCATCATCACTGCTGACCACTGCAAGATTTTCAGCCTTGTCATTGATCTCTAATTGTCCTTTCGGGTAATCTTTTACAACCCCACTTGCAGAAGAAGGCCCTGCCTCTTCCCTCTTGCCACCACCCTGCATCTCTCCTCCACAAAATCGCGATCAACAGGAAACTAGTACTCCAATGAGTAATTAATTCTAACACAAAAAACAAAAAAAGGAAAGGAAAAGACAAGTAGTTCCAGAAATAGAAGCAGTAAAGTTCTACTCCTAAATAAGGTACAACCGGACGCTCTGCTAGAAAAATGCGAGCTCTAGCCAGTCAGCAAAGACCTACTGAAAACAGTAGAAACTTTGAAAGTTGGGTACTTTAATGGCCGAAGTGGGGACACCTATACATTTCTATATTTCTGAAAGACAGAAAGTAGGGGGAAAAAGAAAAGTAGCAACATTTCACAGTAGTACCATACCCCCCAGGAGGGTCGGCCCGGCAGGTGGGCGCTGGGGCATGGGGCGCTCGTTGTTGGGGGCAGGGGGCGGAGAGGGAGGGATGGGTGCGTCAGCGTGACTGTTTTGGCATTTTTGTTTTGGGGTGGGGAACTCTCGGGTAAAGAGTCAACAAAATCTCTCTCAACAGTCACAGTTTCACACACGACACGACAATGTGAGTGTGCTACGTCCCATGTTAAATGTCGGTTTTCTCGTCTCTCTTTCGCGTCTACTCTGTCGGCGCGTTGTACAATACGGTTTTCCCATGTTTATTGCAGCTATGTACTTCTCGTGATTCCTGACTCGCGCGCCCTGGTACATGCATCAGCCTGTGTCATTTTAATCCATTTTGCCCACAATTATTAATGACACGTTTAGTAAACAAATGAAATCTCATCGTCCCTCGGAGCTCAAAGGGTAACTAACGTAGCAAGGGCAAGGACACAGCCAGAGAAATACCAAGAAAAGAAAGGCAATTACAACTGAGGGCAGAGTAAATTAAGAATCAAAGTTCTAATTGCTCTTCTTATATAATACAACGTGTTCCGACCCAAGTAACAAAAAGAGAAACGCCCGTCTGCTTCGACTATGTACGAATGAGATACAGGTCATTAAAGCAACCGAAATGCCTCCTACACAGAGACAGGGCATAGGTGGTCATCTGAAGGGCTCAACTGGTGCCGTCTCCTCAAGGAAAGCAGCAGCCTCGAAACATTCAGCAGCTTCTGTAGCTGAGCCAGGGCCTTCATCTTTAAAAACAAGGCCAAGGTTATACCACGCAGAAGCATTCATTCTGTCGAGCCGTATTGCTTCCGTCAAAAAGCTTCTAACAGTTGCAGGTGATTGAGTGCCCATCCGTCTAAGAACCACTGCCAACGAGACTAGACTTGGGACCTGACTGGGATCAATACTCAGAGCATGTGCAAAAGCTTTAAGGGCTTCTTTGTGCTGGCCCTTAGCTTCGTGAAGCATACCTGCATGTATCACATCAAGCAACACCTTACAGGTAAGATGATTGCATGCACAACCACCACCACCAACAACTGGAAATACAAGGACTCAAACATACATTGTACGAGAACATGAAAAAGTAACCGTTCTTATTTTTTCACCAGACAAGAGGACTAGCCACAAGAAATTGGCAAAAGATGGTGAACCAGAAAGTTTCTATACCCTCACTTTCTGATTCATTTGACCCCTTTGAACAACAAAGCTTGCAATAATGACGCCATTTACAGCTGGAGTAAAACTATTAAACCACAACACCAACTTACCTTAACTGCATGCTCCAAGGCATATGTCCTATCATCCATAATTATCATTAATAAGGGTATGATGGAATATGATAAATCAACCATCCTTGAAGACATAAAAAGCACATTAATTCTTGTCCCTTCAATCGCCAAAAGCAATCTTTGATAGATTCTCTGAGTAGGTATTAAGAGCTAATTTAACTTTACTGAATAAATATTTCCCCCCGACCATCATTCACATAGACTGCATCTCCAGTTGTTTTTATAATGGGAGACAAGATTAAACCAACTTCGAAAGCATTCATGCAAAATCTAAAAAGCATCTCAATCAAAATCCCTTTCTCTTATATGATCTCCCTTCTCCTTTCACAATCAGAAGCAAGATGCAAGATACAAACAGAATATAGCAGAATGAGGAATACAAGTATTCATTTATGTACCAGCAGTGTGCCACCTCATAGCAGAATGACGATTTATGCCTTCAGACTTGGAAAGACAGATTTCAGCATCCCTCCACTGAGACAATCTAATGTAGATGGAAGCCAAATCATGCCAAGTTTCCAGCTCCAAATTTCTATTCTGTTTCCATCCACCCTGTCACATGATCAACGCATGAGAGAGATAGAGTGTGTGTGTGTGTGTGTGAATTTTAGAATCTACAAATGAACTCAAAAAGTTAAAATTGTCTAACACGATTTGATCAAAACAAGTTAGGCATACACAAAAGAAGAATCTGTTAAACATCTTTAAATGAAGAGACAGGTGACAATCCACTAATTTGTCTATAATATGCGACATATGCATAACCTAATCTACATGAACAAACCAGAAGAAGCTAGCCAGCTGAGGTTCTGAAAGTTTAAGTTAGCTTCTGAAGAAATTCATGCTATAAGTAGGAGCTAGTGCCTCTAACATCACATAAAGAAAGGTAATTATCATGCAAGCTACCGAATACCTATGGGTGTAATCTTTATAAATGCATGGCCCAAAAGGCAACATTACAAGTGCTACAAATAAAAGCTTTTTTATAATATTCAAATTGTAAAACTGAGGCTGCAGAAGACATTAATTTAGCTAATAAGCAAGTATTAAACATACCTCAAGCTTTTGCCCTGAACCAAAACTTTTGAGTTGAACTTGAAGAACAGCAAGAAGCTGAGTGTAGGTTTCTATTGCATTCTTGACTTGACCCTGTGCAATTTGGAGTTTAGCTTTAGTTCTCAACAAATCTCCCTGATCCCATCTTCCTGTCTGATCTAGAGCTGCATTAATGATACTTTCGGCATCTACAAACCGTTTCTGAGCTGATAATATGCGAGCACATAATAACCACGCCCTAGGATTAGAACCATTTTCCAATTCGAGCAAGAATTTTGCATAATAAAATGCAGAATCCAACTTCCTTTGTTCAGCATTTTCTAAGCTAAGATGGTAAATAATCATGGGGTCCTTCATCTGGGTAATTTTACCGGCAATTTCTAGGGAGTGAAGTGCCTCAGTCTGTCTCTGTACCCTCTGAGAATCACTCACAGCTGATCTGGAACTATTTGAAAGTGATATACCCTTTAGAAAATTGGCAACACCAGTCAACTGATCACATCTTCCTTTCAAGCTTTCAATGGCTCGTTGAGCAAAGCTAATCCCATCTTCTGCATATGAACAGCTGTCCCCGCAAAGTTTGGAAGCCAATAGCAATGCTGGAACACATGTTGGATCAACCGCCCTACTCAACAACTTCCTCAACAAATTCAAAGCAGCCCATTCATCGCCTTCTCCATAATAACAGAGGGCCAGCTTCTCATACCTATCTTTCTGTTCTATTGTCCTCGGAAGCAATTCTTCCACTTGGTAAGCTAAAGCCCTTAAACCCCCTGATATAGACAATGCATAAGTAAGGTGATCCAAAACCGATGGATCCCACTCAATTCTATCGAGAGAAACTTTTCTCAATAGAATCATCAAAAGAAGAATAGCTTCTTCAATATTGTTTCTAGGAACAAAAGAACTGTCCATTTGGGATCGCAGGTTCGGAGGGTTTGCCTCACCTCCACTGTAAAGAAGAAAGACAGCAAACTCTTTTTGAATCCTGGCAACAGTTTGTGCATCAAGATTCCATGGATGAAGAAGGGACCTCCGGTATGAAATGATTGTCTCACTGGGAAAATCAGCAAGTTTCCACAGTTCTGGAAGTAACTCAACAGCATTGCTCAGTGTCTCCTGCAATTTACAGTCAGCAGCAAAGTTTTCAGGCAAGCCTGCTGGTAATGAAGATTCAACTATGTCCAGAATAACTGAGCATGATTGAGCAGCTTCTGCAAGATAATAGGAATTGTGTATTAGCCAGGCAATAAAAATTTGATGTGTTGACCTTGCAAATCCTTCTTCTCTTTGTCACCAATTCAGAGGAAAACTTGGAAAATTTGCAAAAAGCAAGAGCTTTACATCCATGCATGTCAGTGTTAGAATACAAACCCCCAAAACACAAAGGGAAGTACAAAAGCTAGGCATAAGTGTTATTCAATAGAAATGATCTCGCTTACATGAGTTGGTAGACTGAATTAAATAGCTATCAATTGCAAATTTAAAAATTTCAGAAGTATTAAATCTATTGCCCACAAATTCCAGTACAATGAAATACACCACCATCTCTGTCATGAAATTATAGAAAGTCTTTTGGAATCCAACTTCTTAGTCAAGGTGTTTTGATTGTGGTAGCCCTCCAAGTTCAACTTTTCAATTGCATGAAGCAGAAAATTATAGTAATACATGGGACAGTACTGGGAGAATAACAAAATGAGGTGGCAATCTCCATTTTCCAAGTAATCTGGCAAAGGGGCAATAATTGTCAGGAAAAATCTTACAAGCATTTTAAGAGAGTGACCGTAAAATATAATAATTATGAGCAATCAGAAATGTACTGTAGTCTTAACATGACGTCACTATCAAAAGAACAACTGAGAAGAATGATCAGAGTGCAGCAAAAGTAGGTAAAGGCATTCAAAACTCAAAAGACCAGCAGAAATGTATGATATGGACTTACAGAAAACAGATTGAAGTTTCACCAAGTAGTTGAAAACTACCTTTATATCTCCCGAGAGCCTCAAGAGATTTCGCTTTTAGAAATATTGCTTCCAGGAGCAAACTAACTGCATGTAATGACATGGGCAGCGAGGAATAATTTTGAGATTGTTTTCTGGGATGGTCTCCTCGTCTGGCAAGTGCGATTTTCATCTTCGGAGTAACTGCAGCAATATCGATTCCTTCAAAGACATGTAAAGCAGCTTCTATGTTTCCCTTTTGATATTCATATCTTCCTAACAGTGCTCTGGCTTCCTGAAAAGCAAGGACAACTTAGTGCAAGCAAAGGATCAGCCAAGATATAATTCAACTTTGAAACAACACAAATTAAGAAAGCATTCACAAGCAACAAACTGAAAAACTTAAGTAAAAGATGTTCAGAAAAGAAAGCTTTTGACAACACCTCATAATTCAAAGAACCACTCTCACGCAGAGACGATTCAGCCTCTTCAATGTTGCCTGCATCAGGCTTCCTTTCAGCTTCTCCAGCTTGAGAAGAATAAACACTTGTGGAATAATCCTTAGTTGCAAGTGATTCAGAAGAAGGGATCATTTCATCTGCTTTCGCAAGTTCCCCTGAGCAGAGACAATTCATGACCTTTCGCAATTTAACTTTAACTTGAGCCCTCTTCTGCTTTTTGCCCAACTTTTCATTCCTCATGCTTTGTCACCTGTCTCAAAAATCTTCAGCGTGCAACAACATAGGGAATAACAAATTAGAA